AAAGGTATCGGGATGTTAAGGAGAGCAGCTGCTCCCTTCATAACACCACACCACAGTTGTTGGTTTTACTTATAGTCCAGAAGGGTGTGAAGAAGGAGAGAGAGAAACAGGAACACAAAGAGATGCCGGAAAGAGATCTGAACATGAGGTCACCCACTAACAGTCAGGAAAGGGGCTTTGGGTGAGCTGTCCACCAAGGGTCTGGCTGGATAGAATTAGCATCAGCCTCCACTGGGGCTGGGCAGGAGAGGTGGCCCTGACATCCCGCTGGGCACAGTCCAGGGAGGCTGGGCAGAGGGGTGACCCATTAATATGGATGAGATGTCAACAGAGAAGATAGAATTTCAAATGAAAATGTAACCTAGGACCTCTGACTAGGAGTTGAAGTGAAAACGTGCTTAGAATTGACAATGATCTGTCATCTAATACTGAGTGATGCACACACAAAAACATTCACAACTACACACACTCATGCATTTTCATACTCAAATATAAAGAAGTTACAAAAGCCTCATACATAATACAACTAGACTAGTGTGCACACACACATGCACACTCACACTTAGATCCACCACAGTCAATTATCTGTCACCCACCCCAGCCTCTCCTCATCCGTCTCCCCTCTTTGTCTCTCTCCCATGGATGCTCTTAGCTTTAAAGTTTGACAACTTTGTATACGGGCCTGCAAGCTAGGTTTGCTCTACTTTGCCCAGGGGGTTGCCCTTGTTTGGAAACATCCAAAGGCAGAAAGAAAAGGAGGAATGTCCTTCTCACAGAAATGTTCTGCTCAGAGCAGCCACCTCATTCCCATCAGCGGTAGCATTAGCAATACGTGAAGACTCCCACAGAATGGTTACTCTCTGCCTGGCCTTTGCAGGGCCCTGGGACCTGAGCGGTGAGTAATACTGATTTTTTGCCATCTCTAATCATCTTGCCCCAAAAACAATGCAAAATTGAGTTGGGAAAACAAAGCTGATACCCAGGAAAAGTGAAATACCAAAGCCATTTCTAAGTTCCAAAATGAATGTTTAGATAAGAGTTCTCTTAAAAGCCCAGAGGAAAAGTTATTTGTGAGGGCTGGGAGGTCAAGGAAGACTTCCTGAAGGGGGGTCTTGAAGGATAGGTAGAAATTAGGGTTGCAGAGAGGAACGGGAAGCACTTAACAAACACAAGATGTTTAATACATTTTGTTGGATGATCATGACAGGGCAATCCAGGTCAAAGGCAGAGTGGACCAAGTGGGGACATTTAGGAGATCTCAGAACAAGGGGAGAAAATACTGGGAAATGCTTTTTTTAAAAAAAAGTACTTTCCCATTCATCCTCTCATCATAGCCTCATAGTACTCTTGGGAGTAGGTTGCCTGGGATGTCACGGTATCAAAGAGTAAGAAACTGAAGGCAGTTGAAGCTCTGGGGTAACTCCAGACAGGGCAAGATTTACTTAATGTCACAAGGCCAGGCAGTGTCGCTCACTGGTACCCAGCAGGGGGCGCTCTAGCCTCTCTTCTTGCCTGCCCACTTCCTTCTCAGGATAGAGCCACAAGCAGGTATAAAGGGTAGAATCTGCTACCAACTAGTGTTCTGAGGGGAGAGAAGGAGACAATTGTACAAAAAGGAAGGGTGGAGGGAGGAGGAACATACTGGGCCTCTACCTTGCTCTCACACAACCCTTTATAAACAATGCTAGGGTCTTTTTTTTTTTTTTTTTTTTGGCATCAGTCCAGAGGCTTAGAAACAGAACTGAAGGTCTGTTTAGCCTCAAAAACTGAAATAGGCAAGCAGGAGCCCCTCTCCCCCGGCCCCAGATTCTTGTTCTAAGGCCACAGCAGATGCTGGGTCCCAGCCATGATGATATTGTTAGCTTGGTAGCAGCAGCAGCAGCAGCAGCAGCAGCAGCCAGGAGTCAATACCTAATTTTTCTTGTGCCTTTGAATAGGAGAGGGGCGTAGGATGGGCTGTATCCTTTCATGGTAATTCAATGGCACCCCTGAGGCTTGCCTAAGAGGACCCCGACTTATTTTCTTAAATTGTAAGAAGAGTGCCAGCCATAAAAATCTGGAGTGATTAACATTTGTTGAGCATCAATTCATACATCTACCAAATACGTACTGACCTAATTTACTGTGTGCCAGGCATTGTATCCATTGCCTGTTTAATGCTCCCAACAGTCCCTTGGGTTGGTGCTGTCCTTCATCTCAGTGCTGAAACCCTTCCCCTCTAACTTGAGATCATGGGTATAACCTGGTCCAGAAAAGCTAGGGGTTGCTGAGCAGGCCAAGGTCTCAGGAGGTCCACTCGAAACCCCTCCTCTCTTGGTCAGGCTTTTTCACTCTGCTTTTCCAATGTGAAGAAGCAGACAGTACTACTGCAAAAACATCCTACAATTGGCCTTATACCCATGTATTTTTTCTGTTAAAGCAGCAATTTTCAACCTTTTTCATCTCGAGGCACACATAAACTAATTACTAAAATTCTGTGCACACCAAAAAATATATTATACTTTTTGCTGATCTGACCCCCCAAAAATTAGGTATGATTTTGATTCATTCACACCAGACAGCTATTGGCTGTTGCCACTCTTTTATTTGACAATCTAAGGGAAAAGAGGTCAGTGCCCCTGACTAAATAGTCAGGTACTGCATGTTTTAAAAATTCTTGTGCCATGGCACACCAGCTGGAAATCGCTGGACTAAAAGAATGTTAAATGTTCATGGAATCCATATGCTGTAGTTTATAGACATTTAATGGCACTCATTTAGCATTAAAAAATATTTTTCATCTGCACAATTCATTCTCTGACATCAGTTATGTAACCTCCTGCCTCAGGTCATTTCAGAGTTACAGACTAGAAGGCAATGCTGCAGAGCATCCAGCATCCCCCTAGAGAAGAGTCCCTCATTTCTTCCATGACAAATGTTTATTCAGACTCTGCTTGCATACCTCTGGTGATGGGGAGTTCACTGTTTCCATGGGAGCCCATCCAATGATTGACAACTAGGAAGTTTTCCTGATTTGGACCTGAAATCGGTCTTACTGAGAATACTTCCCTGGATGTGGTCTTTATATTTGACAACACAGAAAAAGTTTGCTTCTTTGGGACAAAAATAATGTCCAAAATACAGATTGTGATTTTGCCTTCCTACTTCTACTCCCTCTTAGGTTTTGTCTCAAGGACAAATAGCTTCAGTCTCCTCTTCAATTTCTAATGGGAAATGATTTACAGACAACTCACCATCCTGGTTGTATTATCAGTAGCATAGCTACCATCTATTGAGCACCTTTTCTGTCATTTCCCATACCCAAATTCATTGAACCTACATAACTACTACAATGAGATAGACATTACTATTACCATCCTATGGGTGAGAAAACTAAGATTCAGAAAGGTTCAATAACATACCCAAGATCACCCAGATATTAAGAGACAGAACCAGGGTCAGGATGCAGAATTAAAACCCAGAGTTGCCTGGCTCCATGTGTTTTGCTTGTAAACTATGAACATATTCACTGCTTGTGAGGCCTGTGATCCAATTAATCAAAGCAATTTTTAAAAGTGGGGCCTAAATCTAGTCACAACATATAGAAACAGTCTGACCAGGGAAAAATAGATCTGGACTATCACCTCCATTACTTTATGCAATCTGCCTCTATTTATGCTGCCTCAAGAGAAGCTATTCTTTCTGAAAGGCCTGCCACCCTGTTGCCTCATGTTGAGCTGGTTGCAGTCAACTAAATCCCCAGGACTCTGACATGGCAACTGCCAGGAAAGTTAAGTTTCAACCGTTCTTCCTTATCTTGGTTATAGAGTCCCTGACAACTAAGTGAGGTTGGCGGGTTGGATCTCAAAGGAGTGAGAGACCTACAGGGAAAGGTGCCAAGAACACTCAGAGGGACAGAAGAGCTGCATCAACCACTTTATTTGTGTTCCTCTGGGCAACGAGCACCCTGGGGAGAAGCTGTATACACAACACAACATTTGTAGCCAGCGAACATATGGTTCTTTGTTATAATTTCTGAAAACCAATAAGCAAAGGGAGAACACGCTTTGCTCTTCATTTTTGCATCAAACTTAGAAAATCTTCAACCCAAAGCAAAAAAGTGCTTCACTGGAGCTTTGTGCTAAAGGCCCTATCTCCCTGGAGCCTCCCTTCCTCTCCCTACCTCCTAATCCTCATTTCCGGGAGGTCACTTTAATTAGCAGGCTGTCGCGGTGAGGGTGACTCAGCCTGCTGCTTCCCCGACAGGGGAGGGAGCAGACTCTCCTGGACCCATTCATCATACAAAGGCACTTGACTCTTTAGAAAAATGCACAACATTAAGCTTGCCCCACCTTGGGAATTGCTGCTGCTGTTGTTTTATTTTATCATCCCCACCTGCCTGGGAGCGCATCTTTTCGTCTTTTGTATCTCCCCTACCTGGCCATCAGCCTTCCCCCCTGTCAGACTATCAATGCCGGCCTCTTCCGTGGCCAGGCTGGATCTGTGACACCAGAATCTGGAGATTGAGTGACCAACACTTTTTTTGTCTTTGGAGCTAAATTCTCAATGAAACCACCCAGGCCATTGGGAAATAGCTCTTGGAATAGTTTTCTGATGTTGCATGCTGGGATTTGGGGGAGTCAGGGAGCACGCAACTCATGCATAAAGTGACCGAATGTCTGAGACCACTGTAATTTCGAAAACTGTCCCATTATTCCCAGCAGTACAGGTGTCTCTGGGTTGCATGTGTTGTTGATGTTGCTTTGGATCAGCAGATATGGGCACAGCTTTTCTAAAACTATAAACAACCAGAGCTTATTTTAAAAGGTAACCATCTGGCCCTAACCGGTTTGGCTCAGTGGATAGAGCATGAGCCTCCGGACTCAAGGGTCCCAGGTTCGATTCCGGTCAAGGGCATATACCTTGGTCGCGGGCACATCCCTAGTGGGGAGTGTGCAGGAGACAGCTGATCAATGTTTCTCTCTCATCGATGTTTCTAACTCTCTATCCTTCTCCCTTCCTCTCTGTAAAAAATCAATAAAATATATTAAAAATAAAAATAAATAAAAGGTAACCATCTGTAGTAACTGTACAACTTCAACAGGAAAAGGGCTGGAGAGCACAGACTTCTGACCAACCTCTCAAAGGGATGTGCAGGTTTTCCTCTTCCCGTGAGCATCTCTATGTGGTGGGAAAGGGCATCTGTACTCGCCTGGTTTGCATCTCCTATTTTGTTCCTGAGCTGTAAGCTGAAGCCTTACAATTGATTTTCCATTGGTAAAAGGGAAAATCAATGATGAAATTTCTCATTTTTCTCCCTTCCTCTTCACTAGCTTATTCCTTATCCCGCAGCCCTTCTCTTGGAAACTAGAAGGTGATTAATGTTATGCCCCAGCAGAAAATGCATGCTCCACAAGACCTCCCAGGACTTCATGTCCTTAAAAAGAGTTTGAAGGGTCTTTGTGGTTCACTGAGCTCTTCGTGTCCCCTTTGCTGATGGGATAGCTGCTGGCCGGGCCCCGCCGGAGTGGGTACTTGTAGGGAGGGGGTCTTTCTTTCCTGCAAAGGGGGAGATGACAGAAAGAGAGAAGAAGGACAGCACATATACACACTGTATGAAATCATTTGTGTGCATGTCTATCTCCCCCACTGGATTGGGACCGCCTAGGAACAGTGGCCTTGTCTTGTCCTGGGAACCCACCTCAGGGCCTGGTTCAAAGCAAGCACAGTGGTTCAATGAATAGTGGTTGGTTGGATGGATGGATGGATGGATAGGTGGATGGATGGATACATTACATCATTCTGGTTCTGGAAGAAACCTAACTTCTTATACCTCAACTCTTCCATGTTTCCACCTTGATTCTACCTCATTCTATCTATTCACAATGAGTTGGGGGTGGACACATAGAAAGGCTATGGCTTGAGAGAGCCTAGGACCCATTCCCTTCACAAGCATCTGGGCTCCAGAGCCCTCTTTATATTTCTCAGTACAGCCCGATTGTGGAATTTCATATGGGTCTGTCTCTCCACAGTCTGGGGGCTTTTATAAGTCAGAGATGTGTCTGGTTCATCACTGTGTCACAGCAGCCAGTAGCCAGCAGGCAGCACTCAATGCAATATCCTTAACACCACTTTTCAGTAACCATCCACTGTCTGGTTGGCTCACACACTAGACTATGAGCTCCTTGTTGTCAGGGACCAAGTCATATCCACTTTTTCATTTTCCCTCACGCAGGGCCTTACGTTGTGACTGATAAGTTGGTGTGCCATTTATTCATGCTTTGGACTAAGATTGATTCCCAGTGGAAAGAGTGGGCTTCAGAGCCAGAAAGAACTCAACTGAATTCCTAGGACTGCTATATATGAGAGGTGTGACCTTGTAAAGTTATTTAACTTCTCTGAGCTTTATTTGTAAAATGGGGATAAAATAGTCCAACCCTGTAGGGGCATCATGACTTTAGATAAAATAACACGAGTAAACGCACCTAGTATCATTCCTTGCCAATTGTAATTTACAACAGCAGGGTGCTGGGTACTAGGTACGGTCCCAAAATGAGTCAGTCATTGATGCTGTTCTTAGGCTGCATAAGTTTAGTAGAGGAGAAAACTGAACAAAATAACTACACAGAATAATAAAGAACTATAATGCATGGCAGGAAGTGGTAAATGGCATGAAGAGGGCAATCTCTTATTCTATCTGGATTAGGACTGAGGAAGTGACTTCCTGTAGTCCCCTACGCTCTGACCTTGGAAGAGCCATTTCCTTCATTGTTGATGACTGAGGAGTAAGGTAAAGACAATAGGAGGCAGCACACAAAAGGGACATCGTGCTTCAACACCCTCCTGCCTTCCCC